CCTTGAGTATGAGCAGATTTGATAATTCTTTCAGGTTCTCCTGATAAAATAAACTGATATATCCAATATTATTTATATTTACATATGCAAATCAAACCAATATGTGTCTAAACCACACATGGAGTAATTTCGTCCAACTGTTTCAGAGCTGGTTGCAGGGAATAATGTGGGATAGAGGTAAGCAGAGATACCTTTCTATCACTTTTTCCTAAGATCACTGCTAATTATGATATATGTGAATAAACTTTTGATTTCAATTTTTTCTGATAGCAGTGTGAGACAGTGTATAGATCTGATATTCAGTTTGTGACATTCTTATCCATCTAGATTTCTTATTTGCCTAATTTTGCAGCAGAGTTCGCTTCAGAGTATCAGAGTTTGGAACTGAAATAAAGATTCACTCTGCCATTTTAGTAGGTATTTACCTTCGTTTGTGTTCTGGTTTTGATTTAGTGTAGTTAATATTTTACACATGAGTTGGATAGGGTATATTTCATATCTAATGTGGAGGCATTGATGATTCCATTAGAAATGATGGCTACTTGAATTACTGATAGCATTACATTTGAATAATTTAGTCCATCGTTTATATTCTCATTTTTACTTTAGCATTTGAAAGCTGAATGCTGCTACTGCAACTCAAATTGGCATTTCAGTTTTACAGCTTTAGAGTTTCTCTTTTGTTATCGTGGAGCTAATGGAGGATTTTTTCATTTTAAGCTCACAAACTCAACCAAAATGTAGGACCTGATCTTGTGATCAAGAAATTTTATTTTTTTTCTTTAGCTTCTGCTACTAGAACCATTTAGATCTTTAACCTTAGTAAGAACTAGACATGGAATTCAGGCGTTGGTCCACAGAACTGGCACATGGCTTCTTATTAATGTTCAAAGGCTAAAAATCTGAAGCCAGTTTGAACTCAGAACCCATCATGTATTTATTTCCCTCTCTAATTTGCAGAAAACTAGTTGTGAAAACAGCCCGAGGGACCTGATATTTTTCCATCCCAGCTGCTCCAGCTGAACTACAGCTGCAAAAAAAAAATCTAAGTATTGTTTCTATAAACTGTTGAGTGTATTTTATAACACAATAATTCCCACAAAATCAGTAACTGCAGTTAATGACCGGTTTGTTAAGGCATTAACTACACTCAGCTGGGAATGACCAATTTCTCTGGCATGGCTGTGTAAGAACTAAGGATAATTCAGTAACACTTTCAAATAATTATTTGGTTAATTAATGGTAAATTCTTGTGGAAATCCTATCAAAGTACTTGTGACCCCTACATTTAATATCCAATGAGTTCATTATGATTCATGTTTTATTGCCATAAATACCAGAAGAATCCATAATGACTAGGCCATTATTTTCCAGGGCTGCCCTTACTGCTTTAGGCCATTTGGCTATTCCACCTTCAGTCATAAAAAGTTTGATGCTCAAAACTACCAGCATTTGTAGGCCGCAACTTTCTGGCACCCCACCAAAACTTTGCTGATTTTTATAAACACGTTTGGCAGAGGATTGTTTTTTCTTTTCTTTCTCTTGCTTTTTCTAGTTAGAGCAATAATTGATGCCTACTGTACCAAGTCATAAGGAAGTCTTTCTTCCAGTGTCTGCTTTTTCATGTGTGGCCTTCAGCAGTGGTCAAAAATAGCAGAAAAGGTATCACTTCCATGCTTTGAAAAGCTGTTCTCCAGCCAGGTACTGGGCAGGGTTTGAATTTTTTACAGCCAAGTCTCTAAACAATGATTGATTTAGGGCTTTATTCATTAGCAGTCAGGTGAGTATAAAATAATTTTATAAAAAAAAGTAATCTGGGTACTGGCATATTCAAGTAATTGTCAATAGCTGCCAGTTTATATTTTTGGGAGTGAAGTCCCTATGTAAAAGGATGGCAATTGGCCCGTTGGTGGATTTTTTCAATTTGTTGCTTCTTACCCTTTTATACAGTCTTCAGCCTGCAAGATGATGCTTGGTGTTTAAAACGCTGTAGCTGTTGAATCTGTTCTCTTCCTAATCTTAGACAAGCTAGTTATGCACTGGTTCTGGTCGACTTTCCAATAGGCTGTATGCTTCCTAATTGAGTGTAAGATTAACAATTGCATTAAATCATGCTGGCTGTGCTTAGAAACAACCACCTCCTCTTGATTTTCCTGAAGCGTTTGATTCTTTGGGTCATGAGTTGCCACTGTTCTGCATGAGAACTGAAAAAAGTCAGGAGGTTCTGCTTTTCCTCCACCAAAGTGCTTCCATAGGGAAAGTGGGCCAGTGAAACTTCCAGAGATCAGCCTGAGATTCTGTCCTTTCTGGGAAATTAAAATGAAATTGAAACTTAAAATACGTGCACCATTAAATACTTGAAAGCTGTTTTAGCTGCACGCTGCACACTGTTTTCTTTTAACTTCAGTTCTGTAGTTTACTTTCATCTCCAGGTTAGTAGAATTCAGGGTTTTCTTCCATTTATTCACAACTGAAAAATACTTCCATGCTGAGCCTGTGAGTTAAATGCTCTAAGCCCCTCTCTGTTCCCTGTGTTGACAGTAGGACAGGGGAATTCAGGGAAAATGGGTCAGGTAACTGCGGAACAAGAAGAAATTTGAATTCAACTCTTCTTTTTGAAACTATAGCCGTCTTTGCCTTTGGTGTGTCATGAAATTTGCCTTATGGAACATACTTTGGGAGAATGATTTAAGTGCTAATCATTAAGAGCCAACTCATTAAGAGTTCATTCAGAGAAAATAAACTTATTTGAATTCTAGATAGTCTTCACACTTTCTGTTGAGTATCTAGGTCTTTTTGATTATTTTTGGCAGTTTAGAAACCAAGGCAGTGCTGTCATTCAGCAGTGATACCCAAGGTCGTCTTCAGGCATCAGAAAAGTTATTGTGACAGACTGGACCTTTGAAAAAAGGGGAGAGAAAATTATGCAAAGAGTTTCTTCTCAAAAAACAGAAGGCCTTTGCTGCTACAGTAGGCTATTTTATTTGAAAATAAGCTACCAGTATTGCCAAATACCAGGAAATAAACTACTATTGCTACCAAGTGTAGGGCTTTATCTTAACTGATGCTTTCTCTTGGCACAAATGAAGCTTTGCAAAAATAAGGAGGAAAAAGAAATCATGAAGGACAGAGGTTAAACAGATAGAAAGTAGCACCATTCTTGTGGACTGCCTTCCAGTTCATACCCACTGAAGGTCTGGTCCAACTTCACTCTAGTTTGTTTTTTCTGTTACTGTTCTGGGGAGCCAACTTTCCTCCCTTTTATACTGGTTTGTCTTTTACTTCACATAGTGTTTCCTGCATTATCCAGCAAAGTGTAATTGTAATTTAAGTCTTAAATTTGAGTCTTGATGTTTGAGTCTTAAATGGAGGCATGGAAAGAAGTGGTAAGAGCAGTGTAAACAGCTTTTTTTTCCCTAGCCCCATGAAATTTCAGGGCATAATTTACTCTTTAAATTTTTATATTTGCTTAGGAGAAGCCTTTAGCTGTATGTATGGCAAGCTTTTTTTTCATGTAATTGTTGGATTTACAGTGTCGCTACAAGTGAACATGTAGGTAGGATGACCAGTCACAAGAGAAGCACGGAAGGTAATAAACACTTCATTTTGTTTGCTTAAAACAGAGTGGGTATGCTTTAGCAACTATAGTACTGTCTATGCTTTTATTTTAATAGTCAGAGTAGCCTTCAAAGTTGGCCATTATCCTTTGTCCAGCTGTTAAGTGCATGGAAGGCTGTGATACTTGTTTTTTTTCAAACAGGTAAGAATCCAGAAGGATCTGAAAGGTCAGCTGTGTTTCTAGGCTTGGCATGGGAAAGAATACTTCACTGTTGTATGGCAACTGCCAGAAGGGTTTCATGGGTCTCTTTTGGTAATTCAATTTTGAAAAAAAGGCACGAATTTGCGTTCTCAGGATAAAGGCATCATATCCTTGCTGCTTAAGGGAAATTCCAGCTCCCAATGATGTATGCAGAAGAAAAATTTAACTGTGTTGGTTGCTGTTTGAGGTCTTGATGCTTTGCCAAAATGTTAAACAGATATGTTCTAACTTAGCTTAAGTAGAAGTAGAAGGTAGGATATTTCTGATCAGTTTTGTAAGAACTGTGAATATATTCGGAGTTCATGATCTTATTGCATCCTGGTCTAACTAATATAAACATTCAGATGAGTGTTTTATCCCATATATAGCCACTATCCTGCTAATGTAGGGCCAGAGGAGAGCTCAAGAGAATGCTTAGCGCAGACTTTGGCAGTGAGTCAGGATCAAACATGTCTGTGTTGTTCTTAACAAACGCTTGTACATTTGTCAAAGTTGGTTTTATAGAACCTTTCAGTTAAATACTTCACAGCCTACTCACGTTAACTGCTCCAATTTTTCCTGAGAATCTTTCTCTCTGGTGTAAGTATTAATGTGGAAAATATACTGTTGTGTCTTTGAAATGTACAAAACACAAAAGGCACCCACAGGATAATATTATCATTTAGGCTAACAAAACAATCAGTGTGTGACTTACTTGAAAGGCACTGAATTGCTTCTACAACACTTTTTGGTGGTAGTTCTTATTTTTCTCTCTGGCATTGCTGCATTCTTTATCATTTCATTTGGATACAAGCTTGTTGTTTCAACAGGAATATCTACGGCTAATTTGGCATTACATTTGATATTTAATTTCCTAGCTGGGAACTGATGAAGGCTTTCCCTGGAGGGCCTGTCACTATTAAGTGTTCCTTTCACAAAATATATTTCTTGCAAAGTGGGGTTAAGGAAATGTTTTGAGGTGCTGGGGAGAAGGGGAGTAGTTAGTGTTGCCTTTGTTCCCTCTTTGCACAAATACATTGTTCATTTGGGTAGGCCAGGTGAGACCCTTTCATTAATGTTGCATTTCTGATTTAAATTTTCCCTCTGTTAGGATTTTTGTGCTTTTTGTTTTCCCCCTTTAAATGTTTACGGTACTTAAAATACGAGGCTTCTATTAATACGGATTTTTTTCTCCTTCTAGCAAATGAAAACTACAAACAAGTAGCAATGTGTATTCTGTATCACATAAGCATGGATGATCGCTTTAAATCAATGTTTGCATACACTGACTGTATCCCACAGGTATGTGCTTTTATATCTGATGAGGTGGTAAGATGCATCTTTCCCTGTGCTCGTCTTTTCCTTGCTCATAGCAGAGCATGCACTGACACCCACAGGTGAAAATGGGAACCACCACAATGCTCCTGAGTCGCTAGTGAACCACCTACTCATCAGGCAGTCTGAGTGTTCTTGCTGTCTTTTAATGGTCCCCAGAAAAAGGATAGGTGGATAGGTGACATGTTCTCTGTCAGTGCTGCTAACACTTGAGCTGCATCAATGAATTGGTAAAAATACAGGTGACCTGATACATTTCTACAGAAGATCGGGAGTGCTTGAAAGAGATTAAAGCTTGAGCACAGCAGGTCCTTAGGGAACCCCGTGGAAAGTATTTCCTTTACTGTTTTAGAAGGCATTCTTTTCTGATCCCATTGGGTATCAAAATTTCAATGTCTCCAATGTTACAGGATATGAACTGGAAACTAGCCAAGCAGTGTTACGTTGCTACATGACAATTCCTTTTCCAACTGCAGGCATGCACAACAGGGGAGACTTGAAGACTATGGAAGGTTCTTCGCCGATCTTTCAGGCTACAGTTTGTTGCATAACTTTTTGTCTCCGGTCATAGTCTTTGATCCAAGCACAGACACAATATCATGGGTTTTGGGGATTTGTTTTGGGTTTTGTGTGTATGTTTTTTGTGTGCTTTGTTGTTTTGTTTTTTTTTTAACAAGTACAAAATCCTCTCTTACTGATCTTTTTCTCAGTCCTGATGAGGCTGGAGTTGAGAAAGCCTGCGTTGCATAAGTGTAAAAGCTTGCCGGTAGCTTTTTCAGAATTGCACCCCGCGGTATCTTCTTTCCTGCCAAACATGTTTTTAACATCAAATACATCCAGAATGGGAAGTTGCCATGGAAAGTTTTCAGAATGTCTCTAGTCATTATCTCATGACAAAAATGGTGATGTTTTTCCAAATACAGGAGGATTTTGGAGAATAGAGAGGGGAGAACTGGTGGGAATAACTAGTACATGTTACAAAATGGTCTTGTAAACATCCTGCTGACTGCCTTTTCTGCCACAAGAAGCAAGTATACGTTAAGGCATTTGCATGATATAAGGGACCTGCTTTGTTCTGAGCAGTTACTGGCCAAAGCAGAATTCATGCACTGTGTTTCAGGGCTCGCTTATGACGTGCTTTCAGGGAATCTTGGCATGGGTCTTAGATCCCCAGTGCCAAATGTAAGGGGCTGTGGAAACTCCAGTGATATCATACTCTGAGCTTTGAACATCATTGTTCTGATAGGCAGTGACTGCTCAAAGTAGTGCTTCCAGAGCTGTATCCAAAGACTAACAGAGCAGGAAACAAGTCTGCTGCCGTCATTGGACTTTGGCTATAACTACAGAATTCGAAGGATACCTATGGCTATTGATGCTTCAGTGGTTGATATAATTATTCACAGATCACATCTGCTGACTGTTCAAAAAGTACAAGCTGGACAATCAGAGCTTGAATTTTATTAATGAATGTTCAAAATTAAGACAGTTATTAAAGAAGACGGAGGTAGCAGAAAACATGGGAAGTGGATAAGGCATCAGGAGAAGAAAATGACCTTTTTAAAAGGAGTCCCTGACATCTGATTCTACTCTAGAAAACCAAATTCTGTTTTCAGTGGTAGCACATGCCCTTCTGTGGGTTTGTTTCCTTTTGAGAAAAGATGTACATCTAAACTGGCAAATACTCAATAATGAATGTTTAGCTGTTGTAGAAAGTTATTGGAAAATCCATCCCCTGTTGTCATTTGGAACAGGCGAAGTGCTTGACAAGGGCTTGCGCGTGCTGTCCCAGGTAAACATCCTTGTGGATTGTAGGAGTTAGTGGGTGCTATTCTAGTAACAGTTAAAAGTGAGTATTAACAGTTCATTCTTGTTTAGACCTCAGCAATGCGTGTTTTGTTTAAATAGGTGCAAATGCCATCCAGATGCTTATAAAAGCCTTTATTGGTAATAACCTGGCCAATCAAAGGGCATGGTTAGGCAGTGATGTCATGGTGATATTTAATATTTTACCACAGAGCAGCGTGCAAGGTTCTCCGCAGCTACCCACATGTTTTCCACCACGGTTGTCCTGTTTGGCCCCTCTTTGATCTATAAGCTTCTTTTCAGCTTAATGCTGGTAAACGTCCTCTCTTGACAGCACCCTTTGCTCCTGTCCGCCATTATCTGCTGAAGTTCAGAAACCAGAGCATCACTTCAAACAGCAGAGTTAGGGAGTAGCCGGTCAGGAGAGATTCCTGAGGCATGCAGTTCTGGCATAATCATTCAAAGATGTTTGAGCTGGGCTTGGGGAGGGGGTTGGACAGAGGTGTATGTGAACAGAGAGCTGTGGGGGTTGGCCTCTGGTCACTGGTAAATAAGTGAAGGCAGGTGCCAGAGAGTCTAGACACAGTGATTTCAGTCCTGGTCTGTGGTATCTGATACTCAATATGGGACTTGTCTGATTGAACACTACTGCCTCTTCATTGCACATGCTGCAGTCTTTTTACTGCCTTCCTGTTAAATCAGTAAAAGATGACAATGGACATAGTAAAAGCAGAACAAATTTAATTTTAATATTTCCTATTTGGCAGCAATTACTCTTCCTTTTGAAGTGGCACAAGAAGCAATCAAATTAAATGAAGACATAATGGGAAACATGGAGCTTGTACGAAACTATTATTTTAAAATTTGAACAGCTTTAATTGAAACTGGATATATTTTTTCTTTTTATAGAGAAGTAGTTCAGTAATTAACAGGGTAATCCCATCTTGTTAAACATCTAATTTCCACAGATTTTGTATTGTGTAAGTAATGAGAATGTTTCCCTTCAAATAATTTGAAGGGGTTTAAAAATCTGTTTTTAAAGGTTTTGTAACAGAAGAATTGCAGGGGGTGATTTCTGAATGCTCATGTTCTACTTGTTAAGTGGCAACTTTCTTCTCTGGTTAATTTGCTCTTATGTGACTGTCAGGCTTATGGTTTTAATAAACTAGGGATTTTATAAGTTCTTAAAACAACCTAGGGAAACCTGATTCTACCTTTTCAAGAAAGGGAGGAAGAAGTCAGTGATAGCTTTTAAATTAGTGCATGAAAGTCCCAGAAAAATAGATGAATAACTATGTTGTAACCTAAATATGTTGAGTTTTTGTTATTTGGGATCCATTTGGAATGGCTACCTGCTCTCTGGTAATAGATAAACATACAGAGTTGCTGTAGTAAAATACTTTGGAGTGAAATTCCTGCAATCCTATTGTTCCTTCTGTCCCCCCCTCTAGATGGATTGTTTACCTACTTTCTCTAGTTTTTAATGTGTTACGAACCGCCTTTCCACCAGGGGGCAAGCACACAAATATTTAGTGATTAGTTGTTGATTTCTTCTCCCCCCACCCCTTTTTGACACAAACTGAGGTACGTTTTTTGTATCTTACGTCCTGCTTATCTTTAGGTTCAGTTGTTTCTACTTCCAGTAATCTCAGTCTTGTCATCACACTGTTTTGCATTATAATCTTGATGTGTCTTATGAGCTGAGCGGGTTTTAGGAGCAAATAGAGTGATGTCCTGCAGCCTGTCAATGAGGAAGCCATGCAACTTGTCTGCCATGGTTAGAAACAGAGAAAAAGAAATGGATGTATTTGAGTCATGTTCGTATATTTAATATGCCACTTAAAAAATGTTTGTATTGAACAAAATGAGACTAGATAGCCTGTGATGTAATGGACAATACAGGCACCAGGTGCATAAAATGATGGCAATCCGTAGGTTATTTGCCTAAGGAAATCATCTGGGACTTCACTGACACTGAACAGTTGGAACAACGTTATAGGTGATTCTCTACTTATGTTAACCCAGGTTGTTCTGTCCCGTTTCCAAAAGAATAGGAGTAGTACTAAGAAGTCTTTGGTATATGGCAGTGTTCAGCTCTAGCAATGGAAGCTGCAAAGATAAAGCACATTGTTGCAGATACACCACAGCTAATTTACCTATCAACAGAGTAATCTCAAAGCAAAATAGTAGTAGAATTAGTCTGCAAATAAGTATCTGTTTACAGAGTCACAATTTTATTAAACAACCAGGTATTAATCCAACTTTCTGTGGAACTAAATTGGTTTTTTTCTATATTAAATCTACCTAAACTTTCAAAACAAATTTATCCATTCACAAGTTTAAAAAACAGGAAAAATAAAAAATTCAGTGGTAGCAATAAAATGTAACTAACCCAAGTTACTTTAAGGTGATGAATGACTGCCGTTTTTGGCACTTTATAAGCATTGTTATCCCCAAATAATGGAACCATACATCTTGTGCCCTTGACCTTTATAACTTTACTGTGCCTGTAGAAATGCTGAATATTAATTAAAAAAGCTACTGTAGTTGACATCATAACATTCCTCTTCTAATGCTTTGGAAAGATTAATGACTTAAGTGTGTTTGTGTTTCTTGGCAGTTAATGAAGATGCTTTTTGAATGTCCTGATGAACGAGTTGACCTGGAACTTATTTCTTTCTGTATTAATCTTGCTGCTAACAAAAGAAATGTACAGCTTATCTGTGAAGGTAAGCATACTGAAATTTTACTCTTTTCTTGGAGATGACAACACTGTATACATATTTTTTATATACTTACATATATAAATTATGTATATTTGAGTTATTTATACATTTATATATGTATTTTTAAAAAGTAAAATGCACCTGTTTGGGTAATGTTTGCAAGCAAATGGCCATATCCTCCCCAAAATTGGTCTTGGTGGCAGGAGTGACACTGAGTAGCCACATATACCCACATCTCTCATATGTGCATGTAGTTCTGTAAAACACACTGATGACACTACTCTGGGAAACTATGACTGTATGGAGAGATCAAGATTTTGTTCTACCTGGTGCCTAAAATCCATCTTTGGCTAACCAGTGTTTCACCTGCCAGTACCAAATTAATAGCACAGTAATGTCGTTTAGTTGCATCTTTCCATTAATTTTTTTCAAATTGAGCATCTCTTGGGTTCTAGTATTTTGTTACTTGGTATAGATGCATTCTGCATTTCATGCTCTCTAGATTGCTTTTCAAGTTTCATTGTTTTCATACTAGCAGTTTCAAGTGGAATATTATTATTAAGTAGCTCTAATTTTCACTTGTGCTCAAAATTTTCACTATGAACTACTGTAATAAATTGCTAAACTTCAAAAGGGACAATTGCAATCAATAGATTCTATGGCCAGCAATTCCACTTTAAAATTGTCTGCATGGTTCTGTAGAAGGGGGAGCAGGGAGATCCAATTTTATATTAAAGGTAGCAATTAAATTCAAGCTAGTAGCACTTATTAGGTAGGCAAGGTGATCTTTTGGAAACATAACGGTAACAGTGGGACTTACCCTGTGCAATCAGGTACTTCAAATCTGTGTATGTCTGTTATGTGTATTCCCACATAATGGTCTACATGACTGGTAAATAATCTTGTAAAACCATGACAACCTATTTATTCCATGGAGTGGGGAGAGAAGTCTCTGAGCTAGTGCCAACAGCTGTGCTGCATCTCCACTAACTGCACTGATGATAGGATAATAGTTCAGATCTAGAACCTTTCTTGGTCTGAAAAAATAACTAAGCACACCTGAAGCATTTAGTTATTTATCTGATTTTAAGTGTCCCACCAGTACATATGGTCATAGTAGTTGTTTTAGAGAAGCTATAGGATTTATACAGAGCAGGTCTTGTCTTTTGAACTTAAACTTGGAAAAAGAATTAGTTCCTGTCTAGATTCTTCACTTCTTCCTTTTCAACTTTTAAAAGTTGAAGGTGTGGTGTTTTTGTGTGTGGTGTTGGCTTTTTTTGATTGGCCAGTACTTTTCTCATTTCTTTATTTGGAGGATTTCCGAAGTGTTTGTTTCTTTTCAGGAAACGGTTTGAAAATGTTAATGAAGCGGGCTTTGAAATTTAAGGACCCATTGTTAATGAAGATGATTAGGAATATTTCACAGCATGATGGGCCAACTAAAAGCCTGTTTATTGTAAGTACTATCTATTACCTAATGTAGTCTCTGATTCTTCCTACTGGAAAAGACTGGCTTTGGAGAGCTGCTGTGTTTTGTCTTTACAGGGTGTCCAGTTTAAGTTTTCTTGGCTGTCATGAGTTAATTTATGTCTTGTTTTATAAGGCAATCTCAGTTGGTAGATCAGGGTTTGGATCCCTCTCTACAGGGAAAATAGGTCTTAAGCTGTATCCAGTAGGTCCCTGTTCCAAAACAAACAAAAACAAGCAAACAAAAAAACCTCAACTGCTGGGGTGCACATCATAACAATTAACAGTTATCCTAAATCTCCACTTTTAGAGCTAGAGGGCAAAATAAAGTGGGTTGTTTTTTTTTTTCACTGTGCCAAGTGGTTTGTATAAGTAGATATTCTAAAACTTTGAATACTTAATATTCAGTTAACCATGTAAAGCTGCCCTTTCAAAAGAAGGAGGGGGAACACAACATCCTAACTGTGGAAATTTTGAGCATATTGTTAAAATGAAGATTGAATATCAAATTGTCTTAAAGCAGTATGGAATTAGTAAGTAGAATCCATGACTCCCTTGTTAATGTCCTGTGAAAACCTTGTAGTTATTTCTCAAACTCTTTAGGAAGAGGACTTCATTACTGTCACTAATGTGGTATGGTGTTCGCTATCTTCTTTCCCTTATTTTCTAACAGCTTTCTCAAACTGTGTATGTAGTAGCTACTTTTGGACCATCTGAACAAATGATCTACATCTCTTGAAAGTGAAAGGATGGAGAGGAAGAATGCTGAAATGTTTTCTTGGATCATTCTTCAACTGAAATTGAAACTGCCTTATTAGCCCTCATTTCAGGAGAAAGGTCTCCTTAGCGTTCTTTGAGAACTAGTTTTGATTTGACTGAGTTGTGAGTTCTTCAGAACCCCAGATTATTCACCTGTAATGTTTGTTGCTGTATTTTCTTCAGGATTATGTTGGTGATTTAGCAGCTCAAATATCAAATGATGAAGAGGAGGAATTTGTGATTGAATGCCTAGGAACACTTGCAAATTTGACCTTACCAGATCTGGACTGGGAACTGGTACTGAAAGAGTACAAACTGGTTCCATACCTCAAGGATAAACTAAAACCAGGTTTGTACAAAGTTTGGTTAGTCTTTCAAAGTAGAGTCTCTTGAAGAATACTTAGAGTGCTCTTTCAGAGTAGAGCCTGTTTACCTTCATGATTTGTGATTGTTTGGGGAAACATAACACTGTAGAACAGAATCGTATCTACAGATAAATATACAACTACCAAGAATTTCTAAGAGGTAATACTTTCTGCCTTCTGATTTACCAGGTTCTGCAGAAGATGACCTTGTTTTAGAAGTGGTGATAATGATTGGAACAGTTTCTATGGATGACTCTTGTGCTGCTCTGCTGGCTAAATCTGGAATCATTCCTGCGCTCATTGAGCTTCTAAATGGTATATTGCCATGTTTGACTTCGTGTCTTGTTTTTCAGAGAAGTTTAGTTGACGTAGCTGTGCTGTAACTGAATGCACCATTCATTTTCTCTTGCAAGGCAGAGGTAGGTGTTTTGTATATGAAAGGAGGAGCAATTACTCCGTTACTGACAGAGATACTGGCTAGTGGTGTAATAGATTTGATTTTTCTTGCACCTCCGCAACTCCTGCTGCAATCTGTGGTCTTGCTACTTGACTGTAGCAGGAAAGAAAACACTCATTTTGTGTTGTCAGGAGATGAAATCTCATGCATGCCATTGAATTGTTTAGCTGACATGTAAGAGCTGGGCTTTCTCTAAGCATCAAGAGTGTCTAGTTGTGAGATCTGAAGTTGTGGGTGTGTTTTTTCTT